TTTTGTTTGCTTGTTTTTTGTTGTGTAACACCTTCCTGGTTCATTGATTCTTACTGGGGCCTTGATGTAATAAAGTAGCAAGTAGTTAGCAAGTAACAATGGAATGTATTAAAGGGCAGGATTCTCGTAGAAGGGTTTACTCGGTCTAAGAGCAATATAGATGTGTGGATCTTTTTGTACAGGTGCATTCCTGCCAACAGGTGGTCCTCTGGAGATCAGGTCAAGGTAGTAGGTGTGCTCAAGTTTCACCTGTATACAAAATTACTGTTTCAACATATCCCTACCATGTGCTCCAACCAGACATTTAAAACCACAAATCATAAATAACTACGCAGTGGTAACTACAAACACACACACACACACATCTCCTCACAGAGTGATCCCACTAAACTGCACAGACACTTTACTCCTTTGTGGAAAATGACAGCGAATAGGTAGAACCCACTGAAGCAGATCACCCAAAACGCACTTGCACACAGAACTAGACCTCCTTCTCTTATCAGCAATGAAATGGTTCAAGATCCTATTGATCTTGAATGCACTTTTGAGCCAGAGTGAATTATGGTTGGTAGCGAACTCTGTATCATAAAAATCAATATAAAACATATTTATAGCTTAAACTAAGGATCTATGCTTTTTTTATACAACAATATAACCTTCATCATAGTCCATCTTGTGGCTAAGACAGGCTATTGCAGGGCATGTGATAAACCTTGTTAAGGTCTGTACCTCCCCTTAGTCTGACTGTGAATTGCAATATTATGGAGGTAAGCTTTAGCATGAACCTGCAGCCCCTTGAAGACTTGTCCTATCTGCCTTTAGGAGAAAGATGGAGAGTTCTTCATTCTTTACCAGGGATTAGTTGAGCTCATATGGAATGTTGAAAATTGCTTCCAATCGGACATTCCTGCCTTAAAGATTCTACGAGTATGCTTGATATACTAAAATACCTGATGTAGATGTAACAATAGCATAATAACAGGTCTCAGATATCATAATTGGCTCTCTTTTAGTACATGTTGAATTGGGTGGTATTGCCTTTTCCGACTCCTAATCCATTTATTCCTTCATGCCCAATGGCACAGTCCATAAAGTGTGCTTTGTTTTGTATTTTCCAAATTTCCTAGCAATTTCAAACTCAAAATCTCATACCTACTTTCTCTGATAACCAATAGATGGCGGTGAATTATGGGAGTTGTAAATTATCAAGGACTGAAGGCCATTGTTTGACACCCCTGCTCTATGACATCTAGATAGCTTTGCATGGAAAAAGAGAGCCTGGAGTAGCTCATTCTTGTAAATGTAGAATGAAGTGCTAACAAATAACTTCACAATAAAAGCATAGCATTCCTCCAACATATTGTGAGTTTGGTGATCTGCCACCATTATAGCATTGTGTCATGGTTCCCATACTTACCTATCTTCTTCTGTTGTCTTGTAGTCTTATAGCATAGTGTCAATGAGCATCAGACAGCATTTAAACTCACACGTTCCACAAGCTCATTGCACGAATGTGTGCTTCTCTGTCTTCTGCACATAATTTCCTGCCTAACGCTATAAAATGCCAAAGGATTGAGGTTTCATTGCTCAATTGTTACCAAGACTCAGCGTTTCATTCTCCTAGCTAAAGGAAAACCTGATACGTTGTTCCCACCTGGGATCAAATTCACCCTATGTAAATCAGAGGTAAGGTGGTATGTATTTGATTAATCTCATTTGTAGACCACTAACTTTTACATTTCTAATCTTTGCAAACACATGCAAACTATACCCACTCTGAACTTTAAGCCTTGCAGTGTTGGGTTAAATACCCTATTATTATTATTATTATTATTATTATTATTTTATTATTTATATAGCTCCATCAAATTCCGCAGCGCTTTACAATGGGTGGACGAACAGACATGTAACCAGACAAGTTGGACACACAGGAACAGAGGGGTTGAGGGCCCTGCTCAATGAGCTTACATGCTAGAGGGAGTGGGGTAAAGTGACACAAAAAGGTAAGGATAGTATTAGACTAGTGACAGTTGCAAGAGAGGAGTCAGTCGGGCGCTATTAACAGTTTAATTGATACACTTTTATGAAGAAGTGGGTTTTTAATAATTTTTTTGAAGGAGCGGAGACTGGGTGAGCATCTAACGGAGGAGGGAAGCAAGTTCCACAGGAATGGTGCAGACCTCGAGAAGACTTGAAGGCGAGCATCAGAGGTGGGAGTACGGACAGAAGATAGATGTAAGTCTTCAGCCAATTTTTTATCCAATTTTTACAACACATTTGGTCTATCTTCTTTTTATTTTCATCTTTAATTTTGAGTCTTAGCCCTGAAAAAAGGGAATTTTGTCAAGAAATAGCTGTTTTCTCTTTACATTTTCTGATATTTTTTATTTTATACTGCTTTGACATTTTTAACCCTGGTATCTCATAACCATTAGCGTGTTTGTTTGTCAATGATGTACGTGTCTTATAGGTATGTACGTCTTTCCTTTCATTGTTTATTCATGCTTATTTTTCTGAAAGCATGCCATAAATACCACTGCTGAATTTGCGCTCCAAAGTATAGTTTCATATTTTTATTTCTCAGTTGAAACATCTTTGATAAATCACTTCCTTTTTAAATCCACGTCATGCAGATTCAGCAAATTCATATGCCACTAACCAGACTGAGAGAACTTGAGTAAAGAAACTTTTTTTGACATATTTTATATTGTTTGGTTTTGAGCTTGTGAGATGCGCTTCACACAAACTGTTCTCCTTGGCAGAAAAGCTCTCTGTCTTCTTACAAAATAGGGAAGTTAACTTCCTTAGAATTATTCTTACTTTGCATTGTAACACATATCAATATGGTTTCCCAGTCATCGATGATTCCTCTTTTTCCCAGCCGCAGTTAGACTGTCTGCTTCCATGCTCGACAGGCTTCCTTTTTCTAAAATATAGCTGAAGAAGGTTTAAAATTGCCTTTTTATATGCTTTCTTCTACATAGTAGTTTATTATGACAGTGTTTCTTTACTTTTACACACAGAATGCATTTTATTACAGGCATTTTACTATCTTTAAAAACTAGCTAAACAACAGAGCAACACAGGTGCACATATGCTGTATTAATAATTCTGTTTACAAGAGAAAATACTAAATTCATAATTTCAATTTAAAAAATCCAAATTACTTTATTACATAGAATACAGAAAAATATGCACCCTCTTAACCATAACAGACAGTAATTAAAAATACAAAAGGGTACTAGTTGAATTAGCTTGATCTTAATAATCACTGCTTACTTTCTCTTTTGAGGCATGGTCCTGAGAATTTCTCAAATTTCATACTTTAATTGTTGGGAAGCACCCAGATTCCTTACTTAAGAACTGGTGTTGTGAATCATTCGAATCACCCAACAATCAACCATGAATCCATATCATAACATTTTAGATTTGATTACCATTTGTTCCCACACTGAATATCTGTACACGACATTAATTTGATTTACGTTTGTCTCGACGGTATGATGTGATTGTTTATGTTATGTCTTTGATCTGTTAATATTATGTCTTTGTTTCCTTTTATTTTTCAACATTTTTCTATATTTTTTCATCATTAAGATTGACTATATAGTCCGTGGCTTAACCAATAGCTCTCAGTCACCAGCCTGTAGTCACCGAGACCCCTTCATCTCAATGAAGTGGTCTGGGTCCAGTGGTCCTATCATTGACAACCACTAGAGGTGCTTACTCCTCCAGACTTAGTAGAATTCTATCTGAGAATCAAATGCTGCATGGTATGCATTCTATTGGAGCAGCGTTGCATTTGGCTGCACATGCATATCTCCAATCTATTGCTGCTCTATGAGAAACAATTGATTGAAGGAAATTGGCAAGACATGAACAAGCCTGCTGACATCTTCAAAGGTGGTGCAGGTGGCAACCATGGGGGAGTCCCACAAGGTGAGTAGTTATAACACTTAACTTTTTTAATAGCAAAGGGATGGGGGTGGACAGAAAGTGGTAGACACAAGGGAACCTATGCAGTAGTTCTGAAATAACAATTGTTATTTTTCAAGATTGATGATAAAGGAATACTGTAAGAACAATAGCTATATTCTGACCAGATGTTTTTGTGCAATTTCACTAAAAAAAGGTGTCCAAACCCATGATCCTTTGCTGGTGCATGCATTACGTGGAGTTTACCATTCCACATTATCTTTATAAATCTTTACTTCTGGCCTTGGATGGCAGTGATAATCTGGGGGCAGGTTAGGCTCTGTCAGTCTATAATTGTTTTTGAAGACTAGACGGATTTATACAACTTTGAATGCAGAATTTGGCGACATTCTGTAGTTATATTGATGATATTTTATTCATTTATAATGGTACCATACTCTCCCTTCAGGTATTTTCAAGTCACCATAAGCTGAAAATGTATGTATGTTACGCACATATAATTAACAAAGATAAGGCAGACTTTTATTTTTTGTGAAAGGCGTGACTCTGTTTTTAAATAATAACAATAATATCAAAACGGTATGTTTAGCTTTACCCTTTGTTTCAAATATATTCCGGGGTCTAGAAACTATTTATAATGGTTTTCCTTCTGATGACTTTGGAAAGATCAAACATTGAGTTGATATAATCAAACTTGTGACTAAGGCACTAGTTCCCAATCCAATCCTTACACACTGCACAAATTTAAACATTTTGCAGTTCTATTCCAATGAGGATATTGTCAAAACCTTGGCCATTGCTGTGCATTGAGGACTTGACTGGAAACCATAGCTCTAAGATACTATAGAGTAAACCAAATTCTCTGCTCTATCTCGTGATCTGCAGGTCTTTCAAGATAATGTGACAAACCACAGGACCCATATGTTTGGTCTCCTTTGACTATTTTTGATGGCATACGTTGCATCCCAATTCACTGTTGACCAATATTTGCATGTAGAAGATTAAGTCACATTACATACAACTAGAATGTAGCACACTAAATATGCATGTTTTGGAATGTCCCAGAGATTTTCAGTTTTCCAAGATTATCATACAGGCAAACTTATCAAAATAAGTCTAGAATAAAGATTTAGGAAAACACTGATGAGCTCTGGGGTATAGAGAAATTATTCTACATAATACATTTAGCCTTTTTTAGTTGTGCTTTTAACTCTCATATTATTTAAGTATGATTGAGCATCACTGGCAGGCAGATATATGGCTTGTCTAAACCCCCCTAACTACCAAACAATGTTTCAAATTGTGTCACCCTATTTAATTTAATAACTATAGTTTTGATCTCTGTCATAGCTTCACTTGTGTATCTTTATCGATGCTAAATTTGAAAGATGAAGCTGGACAATCACCAAAGCTTGGGGTACATGTATGTGTTTGTGTTACTGGTAAAGGTGTTGTGAGACGTGCTAGGGAGAACAGCCTGCAGACATATACAAGTTATATTTTGCTAGTAAAAATGTTATAGTTGTAAAAAGTTGTAGCTGTGACTTTTTCTTAGAAGACGTGGACGGGCCTTGTGTCTTTTTTATGGGGTGGTGAATTGTCTCTTAAAACATGACTTAACAGTCAAAAGATTGTGAGTGATGCTCATTTAACAACAAATTAAATCAAGAAAATCAAGAGGTTTGTTAGAACTGCACCAAACGTATGTTGCTTAATAGCACATTAGAGACCAGAACCTCACAAAATTAAAATTCCAGTCTAGTCCCTTCACAATCAAAGGAAAAGGCTGCACAAGCATGCCATTTTAGTCATTAGGTCATTTTCAAAGATACAATTGTTGTTTAAAATGTGGTTAAGAAGCTAGATTCATGTAAAGGGAAACCAGATGGGATTCTTACTTTGAAACATACTCAGAACGTGGACTGCATTTTATTCTACTTTAAAACATACAACATGTGTGTCCTTCAAACTATGTGCCACACAGGCAGGCCCGCAGGGTATTACAGAGTGATTTATATGATCTAAAATGTTTTCCCTTTTTTTCTCTTCTTCTCGACAAGAGAGTTTGTAAATTGTTGTACATTTTATAGTAAAAGGCTTCTTGAGATAGGAGTTAATTACGGGAAGGGGGTTTAACAGCATTCCTATATTTTTTCAATGTATAAAATTATTGAAATTCTATAAAATTGTTATAAAAAATAAAAGACTATAACTACATACTTAGATTAGTAATACTTATATCATTCCAGAACTTGTGACTACGGTCTGTAAAATGTGTGTAAATTATTGCCCGCAGTATGCGTGAACAAGAGCGTTAGGTTAATCAGAATCATTTGTTGCAATTTGTTAACATTTCTCTTCATCTGAATTTCATTAGAAATCTGTGTTTTGATACCTACATTGAGAAGTACTAAAAAATAAATAAAAAGACATGGGGCCACTAGAATTTCACCTATAAAACAGCAGGGACCCAGACATATAGCACTTACTATTCCCTTGCATTGTCATTGTTGATTACAGCGCTAATATATTGTTCTAATAAGAAATAACTGTTTTTCATTTGATTCAGTTTTCAGTTTTTATAGCTGTAATTTTAAGCCATGGACCACAGTTAAAGGGACACTATTGTCACCAAAACAACTGTAGGCTTTTTTTGTATAGATCATGCTTCTGCAGTCTCACTGCTCAATTCTCTGCCATTTAGGAGTTAAATCACTTTTGTTTCTGTTAATGCAGCCCTAGCCACACCTCCCCTGGCTGTGACTCACTAATTGAAAAGTTTTATTTTCAATCAGATATGCTTTAAGAGTTGTTTTGTCTCCTACTCTATAAATTGAAATTTAATCACAGATAGGATAATCCAAAAGGGTCTAGCAAGCAATTAACAGAGCAGGAGACATGAAATTCTAAATTAAACAAAATTTGCAATAAAGGAAGTGTAAACATTAGATGACTTTTTACAGGAAGTCTTTAGGAAGGCTGTGTAAGTCACGTGCACATATGGCTGCATAAAGAAAGTTATTTAACTCCTAAATGGCAGACAATTGAGCAGTGAGACTACAGGGACAACAGCTATACACCAAAACTGCTTCATTAAGCTAATGTTGTTTTGGTGACTATAGTGTCGCTTTAAGGTCATGAATGAGGGTCATTGTTAGAGTTCAAATTAAATTAAAGGGTCTCTAGCTATGGTGCCAGCATTACCATAACACTGTCCCTAAGTCTAGTGCCAAATCATTTTTGAGCAATTTAAAACAAAAGAAAAGGGGGCTGGGGGGGACCTACAGGAGTTTTAGTTGATTTTTTTAAAATTTTGTACTCATAAAATTGATGCTTACCCTTTAAATATTGATACTGTCTCTATTGTGTTTTCAGTCTATGAAAATACAGACAGAATTCCAATTATGATCGCTGGAGAATCATCTAATAGAAGCCCTCAGTCTGCAATAAAGAGCAGCCCTCCTACAGCAAAATAAAAACAAAAATATCCCACAAATGTAAACGCTTCCTAGATGTTCATTAATGTGCTCATTTATATAAGCTCAATTTAAGTTGAAGAATTACTGTTTCTTTAACACTTGTAATCAAAATAATTAGAAATTAGTGTTTGGAATCCCGTGGGCACTTCGTTTGCTCTTCACACTCTAATCCATTAGTATGATCAGACATTTAATACAAACGAAGCCTTCACCAACATACTGGAAGACATCCAGGTTGGCCCATGTGTTCAGAAGTGATTTAGTGAGTCCGCATTGAGTGTGTATTCCCGCAAACACTGCCGTAATGATACTGCAGTGGGATAGCCCACATCTCATAATGGCACACAGCAGCTAGGATCTTGGCAGATCTAGGATCTGTGATGTGATTTCCAGAAAGCTTAACCCCTTAAGGACACATGACATATGTGACATGTCATGATTCCCTTTTATTCCAGAAGTTTGGTCCTTAAGGGGTTAAAGAGTAAATTGAGATATATATTTATATACAAAGGTTTCCCAAAGAGAGATTGCCACATCGGGGACCTCTCTTGGAATATTTATTTTTTGTCATTTAAAATTACCAGTTATAGCAAATCGTTGATGCAAATTAGTCTTAAAATACTTTTATGACTTCCAAAATTACTAGTGTCACTAAAGAGCAACAAAATATCAATGTGTTCTTTGCTAGCTTCATATTTACACATATATTTTGCATAACTTTTTTTTTTTTTTTTCTGTTACAGTTACTAGATTTTTCTTTGCAAAATCTCAGGAACATGTTTGAAATTTTCTTTTTACTCTTTACTGATTGGCTACTGGATGTGTTTTTTGTTTCATAGGTTTTATTCCTGTTATGCAAACTATGGGAATTACATCTGTTTTAATGTAAGCAAATCAATAAAAAATATATTAAGCCTATTTAATTAAAGAACCCTAAATATAAAGCAAATGTAAAGGTCATTAGCTTGAAATATGTAGCAATAACTTGAATCGTTCAAATGCATGTGCCATGGAAAATAGACATTTATTGCCTATACAGTACTACTGCTAAACTGCTTGGATATTTTATTAAAAGGACAATCCGGACCTCTAAAGCACTTTAACTTGCTGAAAATATTTGTGTGAAGAGTGTGTCCTATTTTTTTCATTTTTGAAAAAGTGCAAATTTCAATAGACATGTACACTTTTATAAACTATACTGGTTACACCCCCCTCCTTTTTAAGCAGACAACAGGTCCTGTTACTTCCTGGTTTGGTTAACTTATTTGCACTGAACTCAATAGGTAGTAATTGCCCAGAGTGCCTGCCTTGCAAAAACTTCTCATTGAACTGCATCGAGAAGTCGGTGATTGGACAGCCACAGAAATCCGGGCGGAGCTTGAAGGGGAGAGCTTGCAAAAATGGCAGACACAAGATATGCAGTTTTTGAAAGCTGTTTTTAGATATAACTCCAATGAAAAAAATGCGTAATTAAATGCATGCAAGTTTTCATTTGGGGTATATCTACTCAACAGTGGTTTTTATTTCTTTTAAATTTGGGCAGTGGAGTGTCCCTTTAAATTTCTATTTTTTTATCTAACAAATAGGTTTTGCTTAGCCCCTGTGTCCTACATTTTAATTGCAAAGGTTCATGAAAACCAGAAAAACACAAATACCATCAGACCCCACTAATGGAGGTAAATATTTTGTCCAGAAGACTTAATTTTGACAAACCGATTTTGGCCTACATTGCAATCCAGTGTTGGTAACCAATCAATAAAGTTTTCTAAATTTCAGACAGTATCGCACAAGAGTCATCAGTGATCACAATTCAGATTTCACTAATCTAATTTTAATGCCACTGAAGTCAAAATACATTATTGTCTTAAAACTGGGCCTAAATGGTGATTCATTGTTAATCACAATGTAGAGCTTGATAAGAATATAAATAAAAAATGTGTCACCTTTAAAAGATATTAAATTGCACCATAGGTTGAAGGTTACTACACACAATAAAGTGCATTGATATTGCTAATAGGAAAGTTGTGTCATTAACCTATCATATGTTATATGCATATTGCTCTGTGCATTTCTTTAAGGTACTTCTAAATGGTCAGTTCAGGTATAGTATAAAGGTGTATTTATCATATGTTATCAATTTTGCTAGTTACATTTTGGTTATTAAGCCTATATGTTCTTTTATTTGGAGTAAGTGATCAGTGAGATGTCGTTAGTTAAAGGAACACTATATGGTCAGGAACACAAACATGTATTCCTGACCCTATAGGGTTAAAACCATCATCAAGCCACCCTGGTCCCCTCATGCCTCCCTAAATATAGTAAAATCTTACTTGTATTCAAGGCTGCAGCTGCATGCTTTGTCACTGTTTTACTTTTGACCTGTCCACTGCCTGCTGACATCATCAGAAGTGGTAGCCTGATCCAATCACAATGCTTCCCCATAGGATTGGCTGAGACTGACAAAGAGGCAGATCAGGGGCAGAGCCAGCACAAGTCAAACACAGCCCTGGCCAATCAGCATCACCTCATAGAGATGAATTGAATCAATGAATCTCTATGAGGAAAGTTCAGTGCCTGCATGCAGAGGGAGGAGACACTGAATGTTTGGATGCATTTTAAGCAGCCAGGACCCAGGAAGGATCTCTAACAGCCATCTGAGGAGTGGCCAGTGAAGTTATCACTAGGCTGTAATGTAAACACTGCATTTTCTCTGAAAGGACAGTGTTTACAGCAAAAAGCCTGACGGTAATGATTCTACTCACCAGAACAAATTCAATAAGCTCTAGTTGTTCTATTGACTATAGTGTCCTTTTAAGTAGCTTATACA